TGTGTGCGTGCATGGTGTTATATCAACACGTGTGGTTCTGGACATGAGCAGCTGCACATTTAACAGCCACACATCACCGACAGTCCGCTGAACACCGCAACGGGTTGTGAATGAAATAAACTTAATTACAACATGACAGTCTTGTAGGAAATATCATTAATGTTACTCGTTGTAGTCACGTAGGCATGTGAATTACAGCGTTTCATTGCAAAGAATGCATGTAACGGGTACACTTGTGTTGTTTCTCCGCCATCTCGTTCAAATGAGCCAGACGTAGGGGGCGAGTATTTAGACGTAGGGGGCGGGTATTTATACGTCAGGGCCTCAAGCTGAAAAGACTTCCTGTTAGGAACCTCTCGTGTTACCTTACTCATCGCACCTAACAGATCCCTCCTAAAGCCTAACGCTAACTCCTTACTGGCAGGAATAAGAGACATGAGACGGCCTTAAAGATGGAGTTAGGAGTTAGCAGTATAAAATAAGAGACTTGGGATGCAGCCCATGACCAGGACAGAATCTGCATTGCTCCTCCTGAATCTAAGGTTCTATAATCGTTATTTTCCCTGATGGCAGGGTACAGCAGCACTCTTCAGCTGTGTCTCTCACTTATTTGGCCATGAGTTTACATAATCCTCTGTGAGAAATGTTCACTGCAAACGCAGCTGCAGTGAACATTTTACTCAGTTGTCTCAGTCCAGTGTGTTGATGTCTATATTCAATTTAACTAGCTACAGCTGTTTTTCATCTTTGTTTGAACAGGCCAGAAAAACACAAGCATGCACCATCTTAGAAATCTTTAGAAAAGTTAAGTTTTGTTTCAGCCTGATCATGCAACAGCACTTCCTGACTTTAATGGTTGACCTGCAGCGTAATACAGTGCACGGCACAGTTAGGCTTTTGTGTAGGAATATGATTATGGTTGAGAAAATGTAGCGTCAAAGAAGAGGGCTGTCTGAGCATGAGATGAAAATATTCAGAATATAGCATCCACTTAGACTGATTAGATTTTTTTTTAGGTAGGCCTTTAAGTGGCTAAAATATGGTTTCTTGAAAACCCCCATCCACAGCATTACATTACTGAGCTTCTGTGGTGCTAGTCCTGTCTGCCTCTCCAAACGGGGAGCGTGCCAACTGCCATTTACTGTATGCAATATACTGACTATGGATTATTAACTCATAGAGCCCCACTTTCAAAAATCCTAAGTATCCCTTTAACTGAAATGAATAAAATGGCCACAAACCTCGAGCATGCTTACCCCTGAAGAATAATAAAGGTGTAACAGAACTACACTAACAGGTTCAACAAAACTAATGGGGTAATGAAATGTCTGTCAAAAGCAGTTTGTATTCATTTAAGCTCAACAGGTGAAAACACCTATATGAGTTTATCATGTTGATCTGTTTTTTACGACATCTATTGCACGTCTGTCCGTCCTGGAAGAGGGATCCCTCTTCAGTTGCTCTACCATCAGCTTTTTTTTTTTTTTGTAAGTTTTTCCTTATCTGCTGCAAAGGTTCTAAGGACAGAGGGATGTCGTATGCTGTAAAGCCCTGTGAGGCAAATTGTGATTTGTGATATTGGGCTTTATAAATAAAATTGATTGACTGATTGATTGATTGATGTGTATGCATGTGCTAGATAATAGAGGGAAACTAGAAAAGCACTCAGAGAGTGCAGACCTCTGCCAAGTAGTTGATATTCCCTCCCCCTCTGTATCAGATTTTGCAGCCTGCATCACAATTAGGTTATTTGCATCACTATCATTATTAAGTTATATATGCCTTCACCATGGAGACACTGTGGTGTATTTATTTTGTTTTTATTTTGTACCAACACAGAATATAATATGTTTTTTTTGTATTTTTCACTTTATTTTTTAGCAACACAGAACATTAATTTCAACTTTAGATATACAACAATATTTAGTAAGTAGAACAAGACGTGCTTTCCGGCCACCAGATGGCGCTATTTTCACCGTCTTTCGAAATTGGAATTGCTGCTGAGGCTGTCAGACGATAGACTTTTTTATTATTTTATCCACTTTGCTTCAACCGATCACCACCAAAATTTTATCATCTGTTCTTGTCCCATTATCCACCTTTCCTGAAAATTTCATCAAAATCTGTTCATAACTTTTTGAGTTATTTTGCAGACCATCAGACAAACAGACCAACGCCAGCAAAAACATAACCTCCTTGGCGGAGGTAATAACACAGAAATGTGAGTTCCATCTCAATACTACACATTTCATTTTGATCATACACATAAATCTTTGCTTACTTTCCTCACACTGCCCTTTGATGGTGTGCTCAGATAAAACTACAGAACAAGACGTTAAAAAAACGTGCTTACTCACTTAATACAAGTTTTTGTCTTTTGTTCTAACATGCAGCCATTTTCTGTCCAAAAGAAAGAAGCCTACTCTCTGTTTCATTGTACATGGTAATTGTGAGCTGAAATAATGTTTTTTAGGATGGAGGATAATGCATTTACAGCAAAGACAGTAATGCACCCATCAGTATCCATGGTGACAGATGCTTCCTGCTTGTAGCAGGAAACAGAAAGTATCGCCCACAGTGTGCCTGTTTATTTATACCTTCCTTTTTTTCCCTTTTTTCCTTTTAAATAGTCCCCCACCAGCCTACAGCTACTGCACAGTGACACTCTGTGTAGTGACAGGGCCTGTGTGACATTCATGAGTATACATAAGCAGGAGAGTAAGACAGCTCACATAGCAGCCTCTGGATTCAGCCCAGAAATTAAATAAGAAAGAATAACACAGATCCACTGTGGCATTTTACATCATTTGAAATCTTAATTCTCCATTGTGCTTTCATAATCAAAAGAGCAGTTAGTTGCAGTGAAGAGGCAAACACCATACTGTCAATCATTTAGTTTCAGGGTTGGGATCAGGTCAGTCATCAATTTTTAAGTACGGTTAGTCCACTGCTGTAATAATACAGCACTCTATAGACTGTTGACCGACCTCCATTCTGATGTGAAGCCTAATACCAATTTTAACATACTGTGGTATTTTCTGCTATTTTCTGGGTTGAACTTAATATCTACAAATATATTGTGTACAGTCTTTGATCTTTCAGGGTGGCAACACTGGATAGTTGTCCTTGTTTCTATGTGACGTTACAGGGTTTTAGTGAGGAACTGGGTGGAGGGTGGGAGGGTCATATTCTGCTTGTGGCCCAATAGATGCTAGAACCGGGTCCTATACCACACACACACGTTTTGACAGCCGAGATTCACGTTCAGTGTCGCAGACAGACATACATCTGCGCGCCGCAACAACACGCGTAAACACAGCAGCCATGTCCATCAAGCATGGTGTAGCCTATCATTCTACATAGTGTCCTGTCAGAACAGCAGCTACGTCCGACACGGTGTTTAAAGCCCATAAGAACCCCCCAGTCAGGCCTGCTGCTGCTGCCGTGTATCAGCGCTGCACAGCTAATGCAGGCTAACGCTTTGGCTGTGCGGTGCCTACCTTTCCACCAGGCAGAGTCGTCGCTGCTGCTGCTGCTGCTGCTGCTGCTGCTGCTGCTGCTGCGGCTCCTGCTGCGGTTGTGTTAATGTAAACGACAGTGCGAGTCCATAAAACGAGTCAAGCCACAGTGGTTGATTAAGCCCAAGCGGTGTTTTCCCAGTAGTGTCCAGGGTCCTCCTTTGAGTCGAACGTGAAGCCAAGGTCGTAACGTCTGATCCGCAGGATCCACAAACAGTGCAGGATACATTAGACGAAATCATACAAGCATGGCTTTAGTTTGTCAAATGATCTCTAGTCATAAAAAGGAGTGAAAATGAATAAATACCAACAGCAGGAAGTGACAGGTAGCCACACTTATCTTGACAGCCAGGTGTGTTGTCTAATCAGCCGCTAGGCTCTAAAGAGAGCTCCCGCCTCCACTAACAGCGGGCCACTCAGAGCGTTGCTCTTAACAAGCGTCCCTCAGACGCAGGTGCATCTATGATGCCTTCACGAGCTTACCATAGGCTCGTACATCATGGGCCGTCTGTGGAACGTTTCTAAAAATTTTCTCAAGCAAGAACGCTTGACTTGGTCACAACAAATGTAATCCTGTATGATGGCAAGTCCATTTGAAACCCCTGCAGAGAAAAACCCAAATTAAAACCAAATGAATTTCCACTATGCATTTTCAAGATGCCTAAAGCAAATTTGAAGTGAAAGGAATTAAAAGGAAGGAAAATATAAAATGAAATGTTTTCATGAATGTTTTAACCTTAATTTAGGATTTTTAATTAGAATCAGAAATACTGAGGTCTTCAACAGGGGGTCCGCGACCCCTGGGGGGTCCGCGGAGGTACTGCAGAGGGGTCGTGACATTTTTGGTTGATTAGACAATTTTTTGTATTTTTTCCCCCATTTGTTTCCACAAATTATAATGTCTTTAAATACACATGAACATTAATCCAACATATTGTAACAAATGGATAAATGGAGGCAAAAGATGTTATCTTTCAGTCAGAAATGCACACATTCAGCAACACACAGGAGCTCTCTCAAACTGGGCACCGGTTCACTCACAACATTGCTGTGCCAATCACGCGGCCGCATGTGACATGCTGGCTCTGTCAGGTTCCCCGTGATTGGCCGAGAGCCTATTCAATCCCCAGTAGTGTTGTCAAAAAAATCCATTCTCAGATTAGATTCGGCACTCCGAGAGCTGTACAAGGATCGAGAGGTCAGTAAAGCTCCCGTTTAAGCATGTGAATCAGGCCTATTTAATTAGCGGCCCAGAAGCAACCTCTGAGTGGCCCGGGCAAGGTGTTAAACGGCCAGAGGCAAATTTAATCAATCAATAGTAGTAGCCTATAAGCTCCAGCGTTATCGGCTCTTATCGTTACTTTTTAAAGTTTTGGTTTGATGTATTAGCATTCTGCAGCCTCTCTCCTGCTCTCTGCATGTCAGGGCTGACCTCCTCCTCACAGCACACACACGCACACACACACACACACACACACACATACACACACTAGGGGTCCGTTTCAGAAAGGAGGTTCAACAAACTCTGAGCCTAACCCTGAACTCTGAGTTGATGGGAAACTCTGGGTAAAGGGCCGTCCACACCAAGAACTATAACTATAAATATAAAGTTTTAAAAATCGTTCTAAACTCAAGTGTTCGGCAGCGTCCACACTATAACGACAACCATAGTGGTGGACGATATCGTTTGGATCACTTTCAGAGCGATTCGATGAACGATAGAAACACTGACAGCCAATCAAAATCCATCCGAAATGACAGGTCGAGACGTTCATCACGTCACATACCACTAAGAAAGCTCCAGGATTTTTTTATATACCCACTTAAAAATGTGCAAATATCCGTAACAATACAGTTTTGTGACAGAACTTTAACTTCAGTGATTTTGTTTCGCAAATACTGGGTAAATAACTGCAATAAAATACATTTTGCAGGGGAATACGTCTCCTCTTTTCCCCTCCATTCATAAAATTCAACCTGTGCGCTAGAGCTCTGCGTGGGACTGTTTTCTTCAACCCGCTCCTGCCCACTCCCGCTGAATTGCTGACCATTACCGCCCGCAATTTTATTTATTTTTCTACCTTTAGCCTATATACTAATCACTCAGTGATTGAGGTTAAGGCAAGTCCGGCGCCAGGATGAAGTTACTGAGCGGGGCAAATCTTTATTATGCAACATAGGTTCACACAGTGAGTTATAAAGAGCGCGCAGCCGTGCGTAATTGTCGCTTGTAATGACAGCTCGTCGCCGGTGAAACACAATAAACTGCACGTCTTCATTCATGTTTGTCTCATGACAGATGGAGCTTACAGACAGGTGGAGCAAGCGGTAAATTGGTTTTCTTTTTCTTTCTCGCAACATACAGCAATAACAGGTCATCAGCATCCATTTGATCCATCACTCTACTCCGCTGCCGACCGCAACGAGCAGTGTGTGTTTGGCGTAACCTAGCAACACAACGATATCGTTCATTGGTGTGGATGCTGCCATTGTTGTCGTTATAGTTAACGTTACAGTTATCTTTCTTGGTGTGGACGGCCCTTTAGCGTTTTAGAACGACTGATTTCAGTCAGTTCAATCAACACAGAGTACATTCACTTTGAGTTAAGCGCGTGCACCATGACTTTAATAAAAAGCCATCATCAATGGAGCCCCGATACTGCGATTCACCATGGTAACAGGTGACAAAAAAGGTCGGCGTATTTTACGCTGGTAGAGTTGGAAATTTTAATGCGCTCGCACAGCTGCAACTGCAAAGGAGAGGGAATCGGCATGGGAGAAAATTGCTGCTCGAGTCAATGTGTAAGTTTAAATGTATTTTATTCATGTGTGTAATCACATAATCATATTAGGTGAAAACTGGTGGAATGGTATTAAAGCTAAAATTTATTTCACTTAGATGCAATCCCACGGGCGAAAAAAGAACGTGGAAGCAGCTCAAACTGAAATACAAAAACATCGTTCAAACAGGTGAGACTTCAGCATAGTAGTCTCATGGGGTTACCTGATTTGAATCATGTTTACCAGTAAATATCATTCAGTGGCTGTTTCAGTGTGCATTATCCCCAACATAATGCTGTTTTCACACACATAAATGTTCTCTCACCTGTATCCTGTTAAATTAGGCCTATTTAAAGTAACATCTGACTTCTACTCAGCCAACAGAAAGAAGGCTGAGGTCCGTAAAACGGGTGGAGGACCACCACCACCACCTCTGACAGAGGCAGAGGAGCTGGCCCTGAGCCAAAACACTGGGAGGCCAGTGGCAGAGGGAATTCCTGGAAGGAGCTCATCTTCTGAGCCAGTCACCCCCCAGGAGCCACCAGCCTTCATAAGATGTAATAGGCCTAGGCCTATATCTTCTTTTGGGCCCATATAGTTCATGGAAATATTAATTTCCCTTTAATAGGTTTTTCTTTTGTCCCAACAGATTCTGATGGCGTTCTCTCTCTTATGGATCCTTATGCCACTGCTACTGTAAGTAGCCAATACTCCATAGATTATGCTATATAGTACTTTATACTGAAACACAACACTCATCTTCACAGGATGATGAGGATGATGAGGTCACATTGTCTGCTGCCACGGAGAGGGAGCCTGAGGGGCCTACAGAGGTAACATCTTGATGTTGTTACTGATAGTTTCCTCCCCATTCACATTTCTTAACATTCTTGTGTGGATTATAGAGTGACATTTAGCTTACACATAAGTATTAACAGATATTCATATCCTTTTTAATAGAGCATGGCTGGGCAGCAGGAGGAGGGTCCATTAACCTCCACAGCTCACCTCTAATTAAAACGGTGCAGAAAACTGAAAAGGAAATGGTGCTCCTGGACCAGCAGATCACAAAAACGGATCTTGAAATTGAGATATTGAAACACAAGTTAGAGGTGGGTGCATTGTGAATTGTGTTAATGATTTGAGCAATGTAAAAAACAAACAAAAAAACTGTTGCTTTTGTATTTGTAGGAAATAAAGAAGACCAAATAAAATATGAATTATTTGTCTTTATTTGACTGCTCTGGGTGGTGGTGATTGTGATTTAAACAGTGAAGTGATTCTGGCATATGATGTCTCTGACTGCTCTTCCATCCTGGATGTCTGCAGGGTGGATGGGGTTGTCATCAGGGTCTTCCATTTGTAGGGCAGGGTGTTGTTCTCCTCTAATTGTGGCAATATTATGGAGAACAACACATGCCACAATAATGTCACAGGCCCTCTCAGGGGTTACCCTGAGGTGACGTAGGCTCTGGAAACAGGCTTTCAGCAGGCCTATGGTCATCTCCACCCTGGCTCTCATCCTGCAATGGGCCAGGTTGAAGTTCTGTTGGGGGCCTGGGTCAGGGTAAGGGGTCAGTAACGTAGGCTGGCACGGGCAACCCCTGTCACCCAGCAGAAAGCCATCAAACTCTCCTGTAATGTATAGTGGATACATTTGAGTGCATTAAAGGAGGGAGACAAGGGAATTATATTGTGCAAGACTTTAGGCTGCTTACCATGTTCCATTATGCTGCTCAGATTAGACTCACGATATATCTGTGAGTCATGCACAGACCCAGGCCACTTGGCCTCCACATTGGTTATGATGTAGGCTACATCACATATGATTTTGACAGTGCAGAGAATGACATATGTTAGTTGTCAGTCAAAATGTCTAATTTCTAGTCAAAACAAATCTCTTTACACTTAAAATACGACATATCCCCTAAAAAGTAACTTGTTCTTAGAAAATTTTTCACTTGTTTCAAGCACATTTTCAATTGCAATAAGTAGAAATAACACTTGCTCCACTGACAGATTTTTCTACTTATTTCAAGTAAAAATTTTCTTGAAACAAGTGAAAATTGTCTAAGAACAAGTTACTTTTTAGGGGATGTGTCTTATTTTAAGTGTACAGTAATGAGATTTGTTTTGACTAGAAATGAGACTAGAAAAAAGACAAATGTTCTTGGTACGAGTTTGAGTTTTTGCAGTGTGATGCAGTCTTTGACATTTTGAGACAGTAGTCAATTTACCTGCACATTAATGCTGTGAATGGACTTCCTATTCACATAATCCGCTTCATTTTGTGAAGGAGCAATGATAGGAACGTGTGTTCCATCTATTCAGCCAATCACACCGGGAAATCCTAAAAGAAATTCAAATTAGTAATCTCAGTCTGAGGTCGCAGCACTATGTCATTAACTTAATATGATTTATAATTATAAATTTTAACTGATTTCTACATCATTCACCTGCAATCCTGTGGAACTCCTCCTTGATGACCTTCACAGGTTTATGTCCAGGGAACACAACAAAAGAGTTTAATAGACGTTTCAGCGCAAGGCTCACTTTTCTCACGGCTCTGCAGACAGTGGCCT